GGTTGCGACTGAGTCGGAAAATGCTTTAGGAAAGGACGATGAGTTTGCAAAACACGCAAAAGACTTTAATGACCAGATGAAAGGTGAAACAATGCATTTAAATAGAGTCGATGGAACTCTTCCTCCACCAGTAGTTCTTCCGTATGGTCCCTATGGAATGTATGGAAACCCTTACGAAAGACCATTTGACCCATTGACTGGTGGAAGTAACTGGTATCATTACGGACGAAGAAGAAAGACAGTCAAGTTGGAGAAGACGAAGAAAGCAACTAAAAGAAACCAAGGAAGAGAGTTATAAAGCAATGAATTCAAGTGGGTGAAAAAACAGGTGAAAAAAGAGGTGAGATTTCACCACTTCACCTAAATTTATTTTTGTGCTATGTTTTCATACGTGTGAGGGTGGTGATATCATTAATTTTTAAGTTTATTTTACTGAAAATTTTATTTGGATGTAAATGACAGAACAAAAGCAACTCATACAAATCGAAAATATAACAAACATACATTTAAACATTTATTTCTTCTTCGAGCATAACATGTTCTTTACACTTCATCCTAGACCAGTTGACTTTTCATTGACTGTGTATAAAGATTGTCATGGTAGTTTTATAAAAACTTATGATGATGAAGGTAAGTTAACAAGACACTATGCATTTCAAAACTTGAGAAACTTTATGACTTCAAGTATGACTACAATAGAGTTAACATTGACGATGAAGATATAGAAGAAAATTTATGAGAACGTTTATTTTTTCATTAGTGAGTTCGTTAGTGAGGTGAAATGGTTGGCGGCTTTGTAAATATTTAAGGTTAAGTTAGTTTTTGCGTTCATGTTGTAAAATGTACGTTAACGGTTTTGTAAAGTGTCAAATTCACAAGTATTGGGTAAGGTGGAACGCAGTGCCACCATACCCAAGACTGGTGTACTAACTATATGAAGAGCGGTTTCTTCATGTTCATCTTTTTCATTGATATTTGCACCATGTGAAATAAGAACCTCGGCTGCTGATTTACTCTTAAAACGTGCTGCAATATGAAGAGCCTTTCCGCCGTCTTTATTTTTATAATTGATATTTGCACGATGCGAAAGAAGAAATTCAATTGTTTCTTTACTATTAAAACGTGCTGCAATATGAAGAGCGGTTTCTCCATCTTTATTTTTATCATTGATATATACATCATGCGAAAGAAGAAATTCAATTGTTTCTTTACTATTAAAACGTGCTGCGATATGAAGAGCGGTTTCTCCATCTTTATTTTTTTCATTGATATTTGCACCATGTGAAAGGAAATAATTGCAAAGAGATGGAATATTGAACAGCACTGAATTAAAAAAGCATTTGTTAAAATCGTTGGTTTGATCGAAATAAACTAAGAATGATTCAAGATTTTTGTATTTTCCGCAAACAATTAAATCGATTCCTATATTGTATTAATTCAACAAGAATGTAACAAAATCAATGTTATGTGAAATAATTGCATATTCCATGCATTTTTCATTAGGTTTTTGATATTTCAAACATTCACTCATAATATCAGGATTTCCTCCTAAAAATGATAATTCTAGACATGTTTGAGTTATTTCTGAGTGAAATTTCGTTCTTAAAAACTTGAAACAATCAACTTCTCCATGGTAACAACATAATTCAAGTAAGAAATATCCGGGGAAATAATCTGGATATAAATTACTATCAAGTGTTTGATCTTTATCAAATTCATCTCTTTCTGTGAATGAGATGAATCTTTCTAGGTCGTTATTCATGATTGCTCTGTAAATTGTATCTTCTGAGTGAATATCGAAATTTTCTGATTTTATTTTATTGAAATTATGTGTTTTGTTTAATTTAATTCCATATTCTTTATAGAAGAGGAAGTTAGAAACAATGGGAATACCGTTAGCCTCATTGACACAATATTCATCACAAATGAGTTTGGCAAGTTTTAAATATGACTTTGTATAGCGGTTATTATATGGGATAATATCTAAAATACCACCTATAATATATTGAGGAAGATATTTCTTTGAATCAATCAATTCTGTTTTGATCATTTTGTAAATTGAGTTTAATTCTTCTTCTTTTTCGGTTTTTAACTGATACAAGGCATTATATGAATCGATATAATATTTGTAGTGTTGTAAACAGAAATTCATCAAAAGTGACACCTCAGAAAAGCTAAAATATTGAATTTTTGGAACTTTTGATAGAGCACGTTTTTAAATATTAATTAAAGTAAATGTATATTTTGTAAAGATTCTTTTTAATAAAAAAATAAAATTTTGAAGAAGAACACAAAATCTTCTGAAAAATAATATCACATAAACTCATATTATTTTCTAATATATAACTATTTTATATAAAAATCAAATTCAATGATCTTAAAAGCGAAGGATAAACCTCAAAATTTACGAATATAATGAGTGGGAATATAATGCTTATCTATCATAAAACCATATGAAATATCAATTTTTGCTTTACGCCTAATTTTTGACGACAATTAGCAAAAAATGTTAAATGTTAACACTCAGTCCATTTGAATATGAAAAATAAAATTGACTTTGATTAAATGTTTTTATTTATCATGCAATTCTTCTTGCGACCAAAGATTTGAATAAAAGTTCAAAAAATAAGATAGCTTAAAAAATAATATACGGTAGTGTTTACTAATAGATGAATAGTATATAAATTCTATTAAAATGGATTTGATCCAAAAAAATATAAAACCAAAAATAATTGTTATAATTTAAATGAAGAAGTAATTTAAAACGATTTTATTTATGATCAAATTTTATATATTTTTTTGGATCAAATCCATTTTAATAGAATTTATATACTATTCATCTATTAGTAAACACTACCGTATATTATTTTTTAAGCTATCTTATTTTTTGAACTTTTATTCAAATCTTTGGTCGCAAGAAGAATTGCATGATAAATAAAAACATTTAATCAAAGTCAATTTTATTTTTCATATTCAAATGGACTGAGTGTTAACATTTAACATTTTTTGCTAATTGTCGTCAAAAATTAGGCGTAAAGCAAAAATTGATATTTCATATGGTTTTATGATAGATAAGCATTATATTCCCACTCATTATATTCGTAAATTTTGAGGTTTATCCTTCGCTTTTAAGATCATTGAATTTGATTTTTATATAAAATAGTTATATATTAGAAAATAATATGAGTTTATGTGATATTATTTTTCAGAAGATTTCATTCTATATGCCTATGAAAAGTACTCTCAAAACTAACTTTTTCCTAATTATAATTAAATCTAGAATATTGTATTATGCTTAGTATTATTTCATTTTTCTCATTCAATTTAGAATTTACAAATGTCAAAAAATCAAGAGCTGTTACTTTTGATGAATTTCTGTTTATTACAGTAGATACTTCGAAATTCACTGTATTTATTTGGGTGGATGTCTTGAACAGACATTAAAAAAATTTCTGGAAAAAATTTGCCATCAAAATTTTCACATATTTGCATTTTATCATATAAAATATCATTGAAATTCATTAGTGGAAAATCATATGTAAGGATGCCGTTTTGCGACCGGTGTCACTTTTATAGCACTAATTTTAGGTCTCTTGCGTGCAACTTAAAATATCTAATAATTTTTTACCTCGCATTCGGAAAAGACCTTCGCCTTCGGCTCCGGCCTTTTCCGAATGCTCGGCCACAAAGTTCATTCTAAGCACGCCGCCCTTTTTTTCCCTCTTCTCTCCCTCTCTTTCTTTCTCTTCTTTTTCTTTCTCTCTTCTTCCTCTTCCTCTCTCTTTGCTTTTCTTTTTTATTAAAATTGAATTTTTATTTCAATAATTAATAAATAGGTTTTAGAATAGACAATCCTTTAATATATGGGAAATTTTATGTGGATTCTGAATGTTTAAATTGAGAAATATCCAATTAAGGATTCATATTTGAAAAATGTTAAGTGTTTATGAAGAAAAATGTCATTTCCCATTGTTTCACTGTGGTGTAGTTAGCAGATCATGGATGAATATTTGAGGAAAAAATATATTCTATATCAAAATCAACACTTATTCATAATATCCACTTCGGAAAATGATGTAATTGAATTTTACATTTGAACTATATATTATTTTCATAGAAATCTATCGAATAAAATTAACTCATTTTTGATTTGAAAGATTCCTATTGTGAATTTTTGAAATTATTATTAACAAACCAAGAGCAGTATAATGGAACAGTTATATCATTAATCGCAATTTTAGGATATTTGACAATCGCAAATCGCATTTTTGACAAAATATCATGGGGGTTCTATAAGCTTTCCTATATGTACAGATTCCAAAAATCATAAAATAAAAACGTGCGATTCTGACAAAAACCCGGCCAAATAGCACGAAAAATTGAATGGAAGTAGCAACTTCAAAAAAATCAGTAAAATCGTGAAATTTATTATTTGTTTGATACCATTAAACTAGTATTCATCGAAAAAAATGGAATTTCAAATATATCATGATTCTCATTTTTAAAAAGTGCCACTAAAGCGAGGTAGAAAGGTGCCAAATATCGTGATATAGGATATTTGGATAAAGTTGCTAGCGTATCAGTTTTTTTCGCAAAGCAACATCCTTATCATATGTTATACATGTGGAAAACTATGACAATTAAGATTTTGCATAAAATATTTTATGAATTTTGATTAAGTTCATAGATATGAAATGAATATATAACAATAATAAAGCACAGATTTGTTGTCGCATTTATAAATCATTAACAAGCAAGCTATATCAATAAGTAAGAGTGGAGAGTTAAAATGTCAATATATAAAGTTTAATAGCATAAGATATTATTATTAAACTTTAAGGAATAATGGAAAGAATCTTCCTAAACATTTTAATACCAAAAAATAGCTTTATCAATATAATATAAAAAGATATCAATAGGAATAATAGAGAATCGCAATAAAATCAGTCCAATTAGTATTAATCTAAATGTTTTGATAATTAACTTTAGACAGTGATTTGTCATTGTTCTATTTCCACTAAAATAAGAGTTACACTAGGTTTTCGAATTTCACGTCTCTCCCAGAAATAATCGAACATTATTTCTACAATATTATTACTTTTGAACTCCATGATAGAATTAGAATATCCATGATGCAATGTTAACAAAGCTACCATTTCGCTTTTCTTCTGACAAAAATCAAGAGAATTTTGGTTATTTTCTTCTTCAAAATCCAAAAAATCTTGGCCATAGTCTTTCTGACAACGCATTATAGCTATGTCAAGGGGTGTCTGACCATTCTTATTTAAAGAATTTATATCAGCACCATGAGAAATTAATTTTTCAGCGTTTTCCTTATTAGACATTAATGCTGCTATATGCAGAGGTGAATTCTTATGAGTATTTTGTCCATTAACATTTGCACTATATGAAAGAAGATCGATCAAATCAGTGTTATTGCTTTCCAAATCAAATGTTTTATAATTTATAAGTTTTGTCACTGAGTGAAATTGGTTAAGAGTTCTTTTCATGAATTCGTTATTGTTATACAATAATGCATATGCAACAGCATTATTTCCAAATTTATCTGTTTTACTGATTCTTGCACCATGCGATATCAGAAGTTGAACAATTTCTTTATAATTCAAAAGTGATGCTAAAAAAATAGGGGTGAGATTATATTTGTTCTGATCTCCATTTACTTGTACACTATTTTTAATTAGAATTTCAATAATATTTTTATTTTTCAGTATTGTTGCAATATGAAGCAGTGAAAAATCATTTTTTGGATCATTAATGTTGACATTAGCCCCATGCGAAACAAGTAACTCCACCATTGCAGTATTATTATTAGACACGGCAAAATTAAGTGGACGTCCAGCTAAACTAACTTTTGCTTCAATATCACTTCCATATGAAATAAAATCTTTTGCAATATCTATTTGATTTTCAAAAATTGAAGTATGAAGAGCTGTTGCACCATGTGGGTCCGCTGTCAGGACATTTCCACCATTATTATACAAATATCTACAAAGATCTCTAATATGAAACACTGGAGAAAATCGTAAACATCCGTCCAAATCGTTATAATGAAGTAAATAAACGAGAAAGACATGGAGATTTAGGTAATCATAACATAAAGGTAGTATTGGCATATGGAATTCCGAAAATTGTATGTTGTAATCATCAATCAAACTCATAAAAGTATCAATATCATGTGATGCAATTGCAGCTTCAATTGTAGATGTATCAGGATTTTGTTCATTCAAACATTCTTGTATGATATATTGATTGTTTCCTTTAACTGCATTATCAAGGCATTTTTTGGTGATTTCCACATTGAATTCTGTTCTTAATAACTCAAAACAATTAACGGCTCTATTTAAGCAACAATTTGCAAGTAATTCATTGAGATCAAAACTCTCACTTTTCAAGAATTGCATTAATGCTTCTTTGTCATCATTTAATATTGCCTCTTTATATGTATTTTTAATGTCTTTATCATATTCTGAAAGAAATGAAATTCTCAAACTATTTTCACAATGATATTCTTCGGCTAATCTTGTAATAAACAGAAATTCATCAAAAGTGACAGCTCTCAATTTTTTGACATTTGTAAATTCTAAATTGAATGAGAAAAATGAAATAATACTAAGCATAATACAATATTCTAGATTTAATTATAATTAGGAAAAAGTTAGTTTTGAGAGTACTTTTCATAGGCATATAGAATGAAATCTTCTGAAAAATAATATCACATAAACTCATATTATTTTCTAATATATAACTATTTTATATAAAAATCAAATTCAATGATCTTAAAAGCGAAGGATAAACCTCAAAATTTACGAATATAATGAGTGGGAATATAATGCTTATCTATCATAAAACCATATGAAATATCAATTTTTGCTTTACGCCTAATTTTTGACGACAATTAGCAAAAAATGTTAAATGTTAACACTCAGTCCATTTGAATATGAAAAATAAAATTGACTTTGATTAAATGTTTTTATTTATCATGCAATTCTTCTTGCGACCAAAGATTTGAATAAAAGTTCAAAAAATAAGATAGCTTAAAAAATAATATACGGTAGTGTTTACTAATAGATGAATAGTATATAAATTCTATTAAAATGGATTTGATCCAAAAAAATATATAAAATTTGATCATAAATAAAATCGTTTTAAATTACTTCTTCATTTAAATTATAACAATTATTTTGGTTTTATATTTTTTTGGATCAAATCCATTTTAATAGAATTTATATACTATTCATCTATTAGTAAACACTACCGTATATTATTTTTTAAGCTATCTTATTTTTTGAACTTTTATTCAAATCTTTGGTCGCAAGAAGAATTGCATGATAAATAAAAACATTTAATCAAAGTCAATTTTTATTTTTCATATTCAAATGGACTGAGTGTTAACATTTAACATTTTTTGCTAATTGTCGTCAAAATTAGGCGTAAAGCAAAAATTGATATTTCATATGGTTTTATGATAGATAAGCATTATATTCCCACTCATTATATTCGTAAATTTTGAGGTTTATCCTTCGCTTTTAAGATCATTGAATTTGATTTTTATATAAAATAGTTATATATTAGAAAATAATATGAGTTTATGTGATATTATTTTTCAGAAGATTTTGTGTTCTTCTTCAAAATTTTATTTTTTTATTAAAAAGAATCTTTACAAAATATACATTTACTTTAATTAATATTTAAAAACGTGCTCTATCAAAAGTTCCAAAAATTCAATATTTTAGCTTTTCTGAGGTGTCACTTTTGATGAATTTCTGTTTACAACAATCTCTTCATTAACTCTATGTACTCATGACGATAACGTAAACGAGTTTTACTAACTTTTCTTATCTTGTTAATTATCTGTTGTGGTGTAAAATATTTAGTATCAATCAAGTTATCCTTGATATCTATGACTAATCTTGTTATTGAACCTTTATTCTCTGAATTAATTCTGTATATTTCATCCCATACTCGAATGTATCCATCATACTTATTCTTAAGTATTTCATAATGCTCATATCCTTCGTCGTATCCCATTGTTTGAATAATTAAGATGATAAGCATGAGTACGACCGATTAACAAACGATGTCAAAAAGATTAAAAATCCACTTTCATCGTCAAATATTTATTATAATTCATTATATTGTACCTAATATTAGAGAATAGTTGATTAAGTGTAAGCACCTTAACAATAATTTTTGACAACGGGCGCGAAGTTTCATTGAAAATCAACCTTAAAAACAGAATTGTAAATTCAACTTTAATGGTGTGTTTCCCACTTTTTGACATGCATTCATAATGTCAGCATTTCATTATTTTAATAGTAAAAAAGTTTAAAAGACATCTTAGGTACTATATAGGGATTTAGATGGCTGACCAAAAATATTGACTTTTGACCTTTGAAAATTTGGGAAGTAAAGCTTGAATATTAAGAGTGCACTTACGCCCATCTGACTTTAATTCAAATTTTTGACAACCGGCTTGAAGAGTCATTGAAAGTTAACCTTAAACATCCAAATTGAATACCATGTCATAGGAACGTAAGTGCACCCTTAAAAAATCGAGGCAATGCCAAAAAGTAGTAAGTTCACCTTTAAGTGGAAGAAAATTATTAATGAAAAATGCAAAATATATAACTAAATATTTACATATAATTATTCAACCGGATCAGTACATTGTTCTAAGATGTACCGAACAGGATTGAACAACAACTATACTATTTAATGAACAACAGATATATTCTTTGAATTTAATTTCGGATAAGACAAGTAGAATGCAGCTGTTGGAGAGCCAGCATTGCTATTGTATTTAAGGAAGGCTTCCTCATCGATTCCTGACTTTCTGATTGCTTCTACATCTGTTATGTCTCTAAATGGAAGACCATTAACAAGTTGGAAAGCAAGTTCAACAATTTCTTTGGCAGAAATTAAATCAGTTTTATGGGTTAAGTAACCGTCGAAGATCCAGACACATGCTGGAAGGTTGAGCTGTCTGGCAAGCTCTAGGATGGTCTTGTAGGCTGATGTATCCTTTTCAAGAGTTAATTTCTTAAGAGCTGTTGAAAATGTGTTTCCGGCATGGTGCTTACGATGCCAGCTGACAGCAGATGAAACAATTAAGTGGCTCATGTAACGAGCGGCCTCATCGTAGTTGCCTTGTTCGTATAATTTTCTGGAATAAACCATTGTTGCAAAAATGGAGCCAGCTTCTGTAGCAATTCTAATATTCTCGAAATTGTCGCCTTCTTCTGGTAAGAAAGCGAGTAATTCAAGGCATGTCCAAAAATGATCTTTAGCACCTGAACGAATGAGCTCTAAACCGGCGGTTTTGTTAACTGTAACGTTTTTCCCGCCGAAGTACAATAGATAGCCTCCGAAACATTTGGCTGGGACGAAATCTTTTTGAATGAAGCTCTCGACTACTGTAAATATATTTCCTTTAAGTGTTTCGTTACGATATTTTGCTAAAACATCGTTAAAATCATTCGTGATTTCAATTGAATTGTTATCATAACCGCAAGTCCATGAATTGCAGAATACTCGAAGAGTGGTATCATCAGTCCTGTTGGTGATATACCACGGGGTCATGTGGTATACAAATTTCTTCACGCATAAGCTAAAAAGAAATAACATTAGTGAAATATTGGCATATCTGACATTCTGTCAAATTTGACAAATAAGATTTCATAGCAAAATAGATGAATATATGAGCTGTTTTAATATTTTGATAAATGAAAATTTCTTATCTATCGTCAAGAAATCTAAAATTTAGTGGTTTTGGAGAATAGAAAGGTTATTCTTTATATTCATAAGGCTAACATTAGTAGTACAAACACCATAGATGATTGCTATGAGGTTTAAATGAAAATTTAAAGCATAATTTCAGGTGAAATAACTTTATCTAAAGATTAAGGCATAATTTCTACAGACAAACAATTTGCACATTATGAAACTAATCAAAAACAAGCTATTTATTTGCTAAATAGCCATTCTGATTCATTAATAATCCAAGATTTCTCTGATTAAAAAATTACCAATTAAGCAATAAACTACATGGAGTTTATTGAAAGCATAAAGATAACATGAAGTATTATGATATAAAGTTTGTGAATTTTATAAGAAATGAAATAATATAAAATTTTAACATTATATAAGACAAATGAGCAGTGTAATACATTACTATTACATCATAGCTTTCAAGCAATATCTCAATCATCTAAGTTTATACGGTGATGATTTAGATATTTTATTTATTCTTTTTTAGAGAGCAAATTGTTTCAATTGAGGCAATACTTTTAGTTCTTATGCAAAGTTCTAGAGCTCCCATAACTTCTGGCTGTGAAAATTCCTTAGTCTTCAAAAGAAATTCAAGTATTTCAGTTCTTCTATTTAAAGCAGCAGTAACCAAAGCATTTGAGAAACTCAATCCCTTTGCATCACATACTTTAACAACTTCCATGCTTCCTCCTTGAACAGCGAAGTCAGGAATCGAATCATCTAATTCATTTAATTTTTCTAAGTATTCAAAACATTTTGTAGAACCATGAAAAGCTGCAAACTGAAGAGGAGATAGAATTTCAGTGTTTGGATTGAGAAAACTCTGCTTTAGTCTGATTTCTGGGTTAAATTCTGATTCTGAAAAGAGTTTCTGGAGTTCATCGATGTTATCCGTATATATAGTAAATTCTACTGAGTCTTCTGGGTAAATACTATTTGTAATTTGTTTTGATAATTTATAATCGTTTTCTCTTAGACTCATTATGAATTCTCTGTATTTGTTTATATCTACTTCTAAGTATTGATTGAACTGTAGAGCAGATGCGCTGTAAACTTCGAGTTTTCCCAATATTGAATTGACTAAATTTGAATCATGCTTGTCAATATCAGAAACGAATATAGAAAATAATATAAGTGCTCTTATTGTTTGATCCATTGGGAATATATTTAAATATTCGCAAATTTCATCAATTTTATAAATTTCTGCTTCAAAACAGCTGTGTAAGAGACGTACTTTCATTTCAAATGAGTATATACTTTGAGTTGACATAATGGTATCGACTAAATAGTTTTTGAAATTGGCGAATTTATCTGTTTTTCTTGTTGTTGTGATTTCTTTCACTAATTTTGTTAAATTATGAATTGACTTTGGTCTAATTTCAGCTGCAAGAGCAGTTTCATAGGCTAAAAATTGAAGATTTTCTTCTAATTTATTGTCGCAGTAAAAAGAAATAAAAGATGTAATAATTTGATCAATGAAACTACTTTCATTTTCATTATTAATACCATCAATCCAATCTTGAAACTGTCTTCCAATTTGAAGTTCAATGGAAAGCATCTCGCGATTTCAAAAAATGAAGTTAGCAGAGTTAATAATGAATATCCCATTAATAAAAATGATCATATTAACATTTACCAATAGTATCTTTATAAAAACACAAAAAAATATTGTTTATTATAATAACAAAATAAAAACATATTAACTTCAATGAAGATCCTTGACAATCTGAACAAAAGAATATTGCTGATCAGTTTGCTGCAATAACTCGGTGTTGTCAATATCAGGAACATATCTTAATGGGAAATCCCAACTAACTTTAGGCTTGTTTATTACAAGTTGTTGTTGTCGTTTAGGACTTCTTGGCTTCTCATATTTCGGAGGTTCTTTTTCACTACTTTCATTAGTATTTAGCGGGAATTCTTGAAGACTTCCATTTCTCAAACCTCTTGACTTTACTCTTCCGCCAGATTTCCTTGGTTTGTCATTAACAAGAGAAATTTCTCTTGAAACAACAATAGATGGAAGAGAGACTTCATCAACCAAAAGAGTCGACTTCCTTTCATCATCAGAATGCTCATTATCTGAAGAAGATTCATTTTCATCTTCTCTTCTGATCATTTCGACAGCTGATCTTGAAAGATATGGTGGGAAGAAGTCATTAGCAACGAAATAATATGAAGAAACAATTGGATCATCTGGCCATTCTGATTTTCTTGGTGGACAACCTAAATCATGAATTAATTGTCTTAATTCAGTGATTTTTGGATCACCATTCATTCTTGAAATGTCATTGAATGGGATACTGAAACTTATTGGTCTTCCTAAGTCTTTGAGTGGTTGTATTGCATTGATATACTTTTCACATGATGTAACATTTGTGTTGTCAATAGCAATGCCTTCCAATTTCGGGCATCTGGAAACAGCAGTGAGTAAAGTGTTTAATTGTCTGTCTTCTACTTTGTTGTATGTATAATCTAGGAAGAGGAAGTTGGGAGCTGTCTGGAGACTGTTACATAATGGAAGAACATCAGTGATTTGCTTGTTTTTGTTTCCACGAATTAAAATATTCTCAATTTCTTCATTTGATTTAACAAAATCAACCAAATCTTGGTAATTGCTGTCATCAATGCATCCATTCATTGATATATATCTGACATTACCTGAGTTCTTCAAGAACATGAACAATTCAGGAGAAACAGGGTTTTCATCCCACCTGAAATTCTGCAAATTCGTTGCTTCTCTGTTTTGAATAAATTTGTTAAATCTAGGCCAATCATTTTGCTCGAGTTTAGCGTTTGAGAACGAGCAAACGAATCTCTTGAGGCTTATTGAAGAAGCATGGTTAGTTACTGTTCCAAAGAATGAAATTAAATCATCAATTTTCCATTTGATATTGTCTGCACTTAAATTTGAAAGTTTTGGAGGAAATTGGATTTTCTTACCATTTATCTGTGTTCCAAAGTTCATAGATACATTAAGACCTCTTAAATTAGGGAGATCTGCCTGAGAAATGGCTTCAAAGATGTCTCCAAGAGATTTTCCGCAATTACACAGAGATAATGCGTAAAGATTCTTGAGTTTAGGCAAAATAAATGATACATTGAAGAAAGCGTTATTTTCTAGTGACAAATAACGCAAACTTGGAAGATCACTGTTTTCTTGGAAATGATCAAAAGTATCTTTCGTCAAACAATGATCAAAGATAAGGGAAGTAAGGCTCTTGACACGAGCAACATGCATGATAACATCAACTTCATCGTTTGTAAAGCCAATGCCTGTAAAAGATAATGCAACTAAATTACACTTCTTTGCTTTTTTCAGAGCAGCGAGAAAGTTCTTGAAACCTTCACCAGTATGGATGCCAATGAAACAAAGCTTGTCAGCAATTTGGAAATCGTAATATTTTGCAATAATATCGAAAACATCGAATTCTTTGATTTTTCTGAAAGTAATAGTTTTGAATGTATATTCTAATTTGAGTGCGGTTAATACTGCTTGGTAAGCCTCTTGTGATGGTGGTAAATCTGATAAATCTAATGTTTTTGAACTTGTAATTACATCTTTAATGATATAATTATAATCATTTAATGATGAATTTGGTATAAGAGTGTGAATGAAATATGATAAACGCCACACCATTGAAACTCCTGAGTGCGGAGGTAATGATGAAGGAACATTTGGTATTTTAATTGCTTTAAACTCTTCCTCGCTAAGTATTCTATGAATGTGATATACGATTAGCTCTTCAGCACGCTTGGCTTCTGGTGATTCGAATTTGAATTGTGTGTCATTAGAAAATAATAGTAAAACAGTATCAGCTTCAACTTGAATTTCTGTAAGTAAATACCATGGATAATTGTGTTTTTCTTTAACTCCTTTTGTAAGGACATATAAAAAGTTTTCACAAAATATCATAATACGTGGAGCTTTACCACCACGCTTATGATGTTTAGTAACAAGATTTGCGTATATTTTTATCATATTTTTGCTTTTTACAAACTGATCAACCTTCTGGGTTGTTTTCGCATCCATTTTTGATAAAAAATCTGTTATCTCGTTTTTATTTCAAAATCAATCGGAAACAAAAAATTGCATACCACAAGCAATATAAAAATAAAAGTTTTAACTTCCGTTTATAAATTTTTATGCGGAGTGATTTTATTTTGTTTTCCAAAAATCAGTAAATTCATTTGATTTTGCAATGAAATGACTATATAGAAGTTCGGATTAACCTACTCATGCTTATTGTTATATAATTCTGTAGATATTTCATTCATTAAAAAAATTCAGCCCGAATTTCAAAGTTATTAAGCAAATAGAATAGCAATTTATAGTTGAAATGAAATCTATCTTAAATCTGCAAAAAAATTCCTCAATTTCAAATCCAATTCAATGAAAACGAGAACAACGATAACATTAACGAGAAGAATTAATAGATAATTGTTTTTAAATCTATTTACACTAAAACATCCATTAACAATAATTTGAGTGAGCAAAAAAATTTTCGGAATGGATCAAGGTGAAATCCCTTCTCCCATTCAGAAAATGTTTGACCAACCACTAAAGCAATGTCCACAGAGTGTATCTATTTCCAAAAATAATGAAATTTTCATTCTAAACACTCAAGAAAATTCGATTGATATTTATGACATAGAATCTTTCAACCATTTATATCACTTGGTATGGTCATCGCATACAATATTAAATGTATTCTATCTCGACAAGCATGATTGCATCATTTTTGAAGATCGTAATGTAAATCAACCAAAAACTTATTACAATATCTTTTTTAACTGGAGAGTCCCTATCGAGAAGAACTCTTCTACACCAATTACAATTAATTTACCAGAAAAAATTTTATATCCAACGTCTTGGCAATTCACACAGCTTTCTAACGAACCACAAATACTATGCATAGCATCAATCAGTGCAGATTCTAACCCATCTGCACAAGTAGACGCAAATTCAATAATAATTGTCACAGAAAAAACGTGTATTATATGGGATATTGAGGATAGACCGAAACTAAGATGCGTAATAATTTTACCGCTACCTGTTTATTGTCCAATTTTCTCATTTTACAATGATATGTTGGCAATTGTCTGCGCAGATTATCTTTTCATTCTTAAGATCATCAAAGGCACACCACAACATTATACAAAGCAGTTTACACCAGGAGCCTTATGCTATGACACAAAAGATTCTTTGAATATCGATTTTGGCCTTGTCGAAGCACAAGTTTCAAACTTCTTGTTTATTACAAGATACTTAATGGATCATCCAGTTTCTATTGACATAGTTTTTAGACTCAGAGCTCCAAGTTTGGCGAAAGATCTCAGATTTCTTTCTTCATCAAGTTTGGTATTCCTAACTGAACAAGCTTCACTTCTATGCTCCATTCGCCATAGAGATTCAGATTCAGATAATTTTGATCCTTCAAATCTGACAGATAAATTTTTAGCTACTTCCTCTGCATTCAACAGCGATTACTTGGTCCTTTCTGATTCCCAGACCATCCAAGTTCTTCCAAATCCTGTAAAATCAAAACTGGACATAAGTATTTTTACTTTTCCCGTTTTAACTTCAGAAACGTTCAGCAAAATACAGTTTATTAACATGAACCAAGATTTCCTTATAGTTATAAACACAGAACGTAAGGTTACAACTCTTCATTGTTATAATTTAACAAAAGGTGACGTAATTTCAGAAGAAGCATTGAAATCAAATGACATACAAACGAAAATACTCGGATTGTGTCTTCTTTCCCATAAAAATGTGAATTATTCCGATAATTGTTACACAATTGGCTCAAATTTACTTGAAAACGGGAACCAGAGTAGAGCATTTGATTTCTTTATATCAGCTTTGAACGCCAAATCACCAATCTATGGACAAAAACGAAAATCAATTATTGAAAAAATTATTTCACTTCCGCGCAGGAAATCAACCTTATTTATACAACAAGCACATTTTAATCAAAACGACATCAACGACGATCTTCTCAAACTAATCAAAAATCTCCCAATAGATACTTGTATCAGGAAACTCTTAAGAGCAAGACAATACAACCAAGTACTAGATGAAACAGAACCACATCCTTTAACATTGTTATACAAAGCTGTCTCAGAAACTTCAAATGGAAACCATGAAATTGCAAAAGAAATACTATCCAAACTTCCTTTGTCAGTTTATGAAAACCTTGATAACGACATTCTCCATGAGATATCTGTCAACCTCAGTCCCATCTCTCTTATCAAAATCGGCCGGCCAGAATTACCAAATTTCGTTTGGCCTTATAATGAAAGAGCACTTTGCTACAGTTATATCAATGGAGATGTCAAGAATGTTGTTTCTTTAGCTTCAGAGATGGATGATGCAAAAATGCATCTTGATGAGTGGCCGGAAAAATTAATGGATATACCATGGTTTTCAGGAACAGAATCAGGGAAAGTCTGTGTGTCTGCTATAGTCAAATACGGACCATGCAGTGAGAGGAATGGGAAATACTCATATCTACTGGATGCAGTTGAATACGCACTTAAAAATGACTTCAGAAAAGCACTGTCTTTCGCTGGAGATAAAGTGAACAAAATTTTGTTTTTGAAGTTCTTCGCGAAGACTGCTTCTGCATGGACAACTGTCTTGGAACAGTTCGAAGATGATAAAGAGATATCAGAACTGGCGAAATTCTCAATAATTCAGTTTTCTCCTTCACAAGATTTCCTCAATTTGATGAAAAACCCTCCGCCAATTGAAGATATCGATGAAACTCTAAATGTTCTAGAAGAAACTGACCAGAAGCTGCTCCTCCTTATTTCGCCTCGCGGAATAATTGTTTGAAAATAAAAAATTTATATCTATCTAATTTCATTGAGCATTTTTTATTTTATTTTTTTCGGAATATATCATTGAAAAATATAAAGATGGAAAAACGGCTCTTCATATTGCAGCATTTCATAATAATAAGTAATCTTCGAATTTCTGATTTCGTTTGATATAAATATCATTGAAAAATATAAAGATGGAAAAACGGCTCTTCATATTGCAGCATTTCATAATAATAAGTAATCTTCGAATTTCTGATTTCGTTTGATATAAATATCATTGAAAAATATAAAGATGGAAAAACGGCTCTTCATATTGTAGCATATGCAAAAAATATACAAGATTTTAATTATATATTAAGAAGTTTACAATTCAATAGTTAAAAATGGATATAAGTATGAGAATGGAATTCCAATATTTTTAATTGCTCTGCATGAATTAGCAAAAGCACAATCTTCCGAAAATGCAATCTTAGGAATATTTCCAATATTAATAATTTTTTCCTGCACATCTTGCGGCGCTGAAAATGATCCACACCTGCGAAGAAGAGGACATCCGTCAAATGCATTTGTACCAATTTGAGAGATACTAGATGATGAGAAGAAAACAAAATTCAAATTCTTGCAATCTTTAAAAGCTTGATAGTCAATAGTGTTAATATTATTTCCATTGAAGAATACTCTTAAGAGAGTTGGACTTCCCATGAAAGCACAACTTCCAATAGTCTCCATTTCTAATGGAACAATGAAATTTTTAACACCGCTGTATGGAAGAAAGAGAATAAGTTTTGTTTGTGCGTGATTTGTCAATGCGCCATTTTCAAATCGATATCTTTGATCATTTTGAGGAAGCTTAACAGATTTTAAATTATAACAACCATAGAAGCATCCACCATCAACCTTTGAAAGTGTGCAGTCATCACACATTATCAATGTTCTCAGTTCTTCGCATGATTGAAATGCAAAACCTTGAATAGTAGCTAATGAACTTGGAATTATGAAATCCGTCAATGATATGCACCCATCAAAAGCATATGTTCCAATATCTGTGACACCATTGTTGAGTGTAAGCGTTATCAATGATGTACATGATTGGCATAACATACTAGGAATATTACAAGATATAGTTAAATCTGTGATTTTAGAATTGGCAAATGATCTGATACCAACTGATTCTATTGAACTTGGTAAGTTCGCAGTTGTCAATCCACTTTCGGAGAATGCATAAGTTCCAATAGATGTTAGTGAATTTAAGTTAGATAATTCAATATCTCCAAGTTTTTTGCAGTTTGCAAATGCATATTCTCCTATTGAAGTAATAGAAGTTGGGAGAGTAATTGATGAAAGCATATTGCAATTTATGAAGCAAGATCTAGGGATTGATGTAATTTTTGTTCCTTGGAATGTAACACGTGATAGCTGCGAGCAACTATCAAAAGCATTATTTGAGATTGTTTTCAAACCTGGTGGGAAAACAATTGAATGTATGGTTGATTCTTTGAAAACAATTTCACCAATAGTAATATCCAAATCCACATTGGAACTTTTGAAAGTAACATCCTTTATTTTCTTTTCTGCAAAAGTTCCTCGAGCAATAAAATTACACTCAGATAAAATAGAAATATCTGTATTTTCTTCTGATCCCACATAAATTAATAAAGTTCTATTGTCATCCATATACATCATATTATTGTCAACAACATATTTGGGACTTAATGAATGAAGTGTTAAATTAGGAATTTCTGTAAAAACGCCATCACCTATTGTTTCCAAATTTTTTGGGAGAGTTATTTCTGTTAATGAAATGCATCCAATAAAGGCAGCGTCTCTTAAATTCTTCAAACTAGATGGTAAAACAATGTTTTTAAGTTTTTTACAATAATAGAATGCACTACTTTTGATCTCTGTGATATTTTCTGTTAATTTTACTGTCACTAAATTTCGACATCCTTGAAACATAAAAGATGAAATATTTTTTATTTGAGAAGGAAATTCGAAATCGACAATTTGGCATTCTCCAAGACAAAAACTATCAATAAAGGTTACACTCGATGAGAAAATGATTTTATTGAATTTCGATCCTCTAAATGCAGAATTACCGATTGAAGTAATATAAGAAGGAACTTGAAATGTTCCTGTTAATCTTGAACTCACATAAACTAAATTTGTAAATCCAGATCCAGAAAGCAGCATTTGGCCATCAACTTTATAGTTTGTATTCCTTTCATCAACTGAAATACCAATAATAGGACAACCTTGGAAACATGAACCATCTTTCAGTATGCATTTTGATGGAATATGGAAGTATTCTAGATTTGTGAATGCAAAAACATCTACACCCATATTCTGTAGTTGAGATTCTTGGCCAATTGTAACTTCTTTTATTCCAGAATATCCAAAAACTCTTCCATACGTCTGGTCAGAACCAGCTATTTCTGTCAAAGTATCAGGAAATTCAATTTTTGTTAAAGCACGATCAATATAAAAACATCCATACGAAATTTTCTTTAACTTTGGAGGCAATTTTACATTGCTCAATCTCCAGCATCCACTGAAACAGCCATCACTGAGGACTAGGAGTTTTGTACATTGACTCATGTCCGCACTTATTAATGCGGAATTCATAAAGCAACAATCGCATATTGATGATAGTTGGCTTCCTGGAGCAAATGATATTGAGGATAAAGCTCCTCGACAGAAGAAGAAGGGACTTGCATCTTGAGTTGTCCCTCCTTTGATTGTTGTACATTCGGCAATAACAGTGCAATCACCAGAAAATCCCTTGAGAACAGAAAGAAGGACTGTTTTATCATCTGAATACTGTACACCATTTAATTCATTACTTTGCAGTTACTAGGGAGTTATTATTAAATACATTTTTATCATGGTTGAATTTGACACATATCTGAAAGTTTGAGAGAACTCATTGAATTGTGTAAATTAACAATGATAAAAAAACAATCACCCTTGAAATTGAAGCGACACAATTACATTCATGTAGTATGCAAGGAGGTTAATTGTTTTGAAGTATGGAATGAGAATGAAAACAGTAATATTATTACATTTAAAGACAAATGAATTTCTGATGGAAAGAATGAAGAAACTATATGAAAAGCAGACTTTTTTTTCGTACACCCTCTCAATTTTTTTCCAGTTTTCGTACTCATATGGTATCATTAGTTTATAATAATCATAGAGCTTTCGCTATACTGCAGCATTAAAGTATAGCTGTATTGTGATTATCTCCTTGAATTTGAGAGGATTCTAAGTTTAATGTCAAGATAATCTCAATTGAATTTAGCATGGAAGCAATATATTTACTATTGTAAGATTGCTTATGATAGAGCTATGCTTGTTTTACCAAAATTTACGAAATCTAATCAAAATACCGTATCACAGGAAGTTGAATAATAATAACTTTTAAAAATTGTGTTTTTATATGGTTACAATTGGTAGTCTTTATAATAATGATTGGAAGCTCTATGTTTGCTCAGAAATATGAAATATAATCAAGATTGAAGTTTGAATATAAGTAAATGTGTGTAAATAAGTTAATAAAAGCATTTGCTGCATACTATATCTCTATGTTTCTGCAAGTACGTACTCAGATCGGGAGAATCTCTCACTTTTGTTCCGCAATGTGACATTGGGAACAAAGTTTCCGATCTGAGTACATATTTGCAGGGTCTTGCAATGGCATCCTGCAAGTACGTACTCAGATCGGGAGAATCTCTCACTTTTGTTCCGCAATGTGACATTGGGAACAAAGTTTCCGATCTGAGTACATATTTGCAGGGTCTTGCAATGGCATCCTGCAAGTACGTACTCAGATCGGGAGAATCTCTCACTTTTGTTCCGCAATGTGACATTGGGAACAAAGTTTCCGATCTGAGTACATATTTGCAGGGTCTTGCAATGGCATCCTGCAAGTACGTACTCAGATCGGGAGAATCTCTCACTTTTGTTCCGCAATGTGACATTGGGAACAAAGTTTCCGATCTGAGTACATATTTGCAGGGTCTTGCAATGGCATCCTGCAAGTACGTACTCAGATCGGGAGAATCTCTCACTTTTGTTCCGCAATGTGACATTGGGAACAAAGTTTCCGATCTGAGTACATATTTGCAGGGTCTTGCAATGGCATCCTGCAAGTACGTACTCAGATCGGGAGAATCTCTCACTTTTGTTCCGCAATGTGACATTGGGAACAAAGTTTCCGATCTGAGTACATATTTGCAGGGTCTTGCAATGGCATCCTGCAAGTACGTACTCAGATCGGGAGAATCTCTCACTTTTGTTCCGCAATGTGACATTAGACATTTGATTCCCGAAAGGAGTTTACATTTGCAATATACTGTCATATTATATTGCAATTATAAACTCCTTTCGAAGAAAGCTAATTTTTTTCATATCTCAATGTTGCATTAGAAATTAGATTATAGAAAGGAGGTTACGAGTACAATGTTATACCATATAATATTGCAATCGTAAACTCCTTTCTAAAGTATCTTCTTTACAATATAATTTAATTTTCTCATTCTTCTTTAAACTAGTAAATTTTATTCACAATTTAATCTAAATCATAAATATTCATGTTTTGTAGAAACGTTTTTTAACTCAAATCGTTTTTTCTTATCAAATTTTATATTTTTTCTTTTTATTTTCAGTTTTTTGAATTTTTTTTGAATTTTTTTTATTCAATTTCAATGTAATTTAATTCTTTTTCATATGTATTATAATTTTATTCATCTTTAAATTTTTAATTTTTGAATTCATACGATAATTATTCATTCAATTTTTAAATGAATGTTTTGATGGGACGAGCTTACTGATAATAGACTCATCCCATCAAAACATTCCCTTGAAAACTCTGGCCTTCATCGAGGCCAGAGCTCACAATTGATCTCCTCAGAGCCAAGTTCCTCGACGGTCGTCCTCATTAGGTTCGATCCGAGAGGAACTTGGCTCTGAATGAAATTCACAAGCTCTGGTCTCAGGAAATGCCAGAGCTTCGCAAACAATCCTTGGGGCTGGTTCCCTCAAAGACCGCCCTGATTCGGGGCGGCCGGAGAGGAATCCAGTCCCAAGAGAGCGCCCATACGAAGCTCTGGCCTTTTCTGAGGCCAGATCCTGCAAATACAATCCTCAGGGCAGAATTTGAGGGAGATCGTCAATGATGTTGACGATCTCCCTCAAATTCTGCCCTGAAAGAAAGAAATACACAGATTCTGGCCTCAGAAAAGGCCAGAGCTTCGCTTACAGTCCCCAGGGCCGGCTTTCCCAAATGCCGCTCTGACCCCGGGCGGCAGGTGAGGAATCTGGCCATGGGATACTTACCAAACGAAGCTCTGGCCACAGTAAAGGCCAGAGCCTGCAAGATCAATCCTCAGGGCCGATTTTGAGGGAGATCGTCTACATTATTGGCGATCTCCTCTCATATCGGTCCTGAAGGACTTCAAAATACAGGTCCTGGCCTCAGCAGAGACCAGGGCTTCGCTTAAAATCCTCAGAGCCGAGTTCCCTGAGATTGTCCAAATTACGGACACTTCTCAGCGGAACTCGGCTCTGAGAAGCAACAAATCCTAAGTTCTGGCCTCAGCAAAGGTTCAGGGCCTCGCTTACAGTCCTCAGGGCCGGATTTCCCAAATGCCGTCCTGATCTAGGGCGACAGGAGAGGAATCCGACCCTGGGAAACAGCAACCCGAATTTCTGACCTCAACATGTGTCAGAGCCTGCAATACTAATCCTCAGGGCCGAGTTTGAGGGAGATCGCCAACATCATTGACGAGATCCTCTTATCTCGGCCCTGAAAGACATACAGATACAGGCTCTGACCCTTGTTGAGGTCAGGGCATCTCTATAAAGGGCAGTTTTTCTATGTTCTTTCATTTTCTGAAAGATCATAGTGAAAAGGCTCTCTGATGCTTTATTGTTTCAAAATAGTACATGCTTGAGATTATAATTTTGCAGCAAATTTATTGATTGCATGCAAATATTTGATCTCAATAATTCAAACATGCAAATTTAGGGCTTACCCGTTACAAATAAAATATTTGCTTAACGGAACCCTTTTATAATGAATAAACACTCTTTTTTATATAATAAAATATTTATTTCATCATCAATGATAATTGAGTAAATTTATAACAATAAATGCATTTACAATAACAAGTACATATCATTATCATATATGCTTATCTTCAAAACTCTATTTTAAAAAAGATGCCTAATTGCATATGCAATAAAAATCAAGTTTTATAGATTAACACATTGAAATTGTACTTTGCACAAAACATTATGCTTGGGCTAGTAAAATCTTTTAAACAATTGTAAATAATCAAATATGATATTTGATGTGATATATGTCTAGACCAGAAATTGAAATATGAACAGGGGAAAGACAAGTTCTGATCATAGGCAAACATTGGACATCAAATACTATGCTCTGTAAAAAAGTACGAAAACTGGAAAAAAAATTGAGAGGGGGTACGAAAAAAAAGTCTGCTTTTCGTATCGACTCAAGAATGAAACTCTGAAATTTTAACATTTATAACTATTACATTACTGCACAGATAATACTAAATACGGAAATTGGTTGCTTGTTATGAATTATTTTTAATGCCGAATTAAGGACAGTTTAACCTTAAGGTACCGCATTCAAATAAAAGAACTGGAGTCATTATCAAAGTTTATTGAAGAAATTGAATTTATGATATTGTGCTTATGAAAGCATATTTCATTTAATTAGAAGTTGTTGAATTCTTCATAGAAATGTAAAAGAATTTAATTATGATTTCACTCCCATTCATGTTGCAGAAAACACTTTGATTAATACGAAATTGCTTAAATTTTTATTAAGTATGGTGCTGATGATAACTAATTTGATTACATTAATAAAACGCCTTTTAGCTATGCAGCAGAAAAGAACTGTGTAGATTCCTTTAGAATTTTGATTGAAGATCATGTGGATATCAGAAATGCTTTTTCACCTGTTACAGGTGCAGAAAATTTACTTCGCTGTGGATCAAATCCAATAATAAAACTTTTTCTTTTTACATTGGCTTTTCATGAGTTAGGTGTTAATGGTTCCACTTTTGGTGTAGAGAAATTATCATATTAATTTTGCATTTTACAAGTTTTAAACTGCTTTATCTCTACAGTTCATGCAAACTGATTTAAATAACATATATTTGCAGCATTATATCATGGAAATGTATTAGGTGCTTTTATTTGTGTATACGAATACGAATAAATAAAGATAATCTTATGTATCTTAAAAATATTATAAATCTTTATTGTTTGTATTTGAATGCAAATATTTTTAAATATTCAAGCTGATATTTTATTATAAATACCAAAATTTCATTAAATTATTAATAATTTGATCAATTTCATTCAAATCTATATAAAGATTTATATTTAAAGAACATCGGATTATTTGAGTTTGGCACCTGTTCTGCAGACTTTGATTTCTTTATATTCTTATATTCATAACTAAGGGAATGAAACAAAAAGACAATGGGAAACATAAAAAAAAATGAGAAGTGTCATTTGACAGGCAAAAAGTATACTGATTTCAGTACTGCAGAATATTAGTGGAAATGTTGATCAATTATGATAGTTAAATAATTTACTCTCCCAAACAAAGATTTCAGGAAATCTTTATTTCAAAATTAAATGGTGTAAATATTTCACCATTAAATATATCTAATTTACATTGCTTTATAAGCGTTAAGACGGCCTTCAATTTGTGCATATAATAGATTGTAGGCCTTATTTATTTGATCGCCTGTAATTGGCCTAAATCGTTTGGCGAAAAACATGAAAAGGCCAATTCATCTACGTATAGTTCCTTTTACACTTGCCTGACGAACATTAACAGTGTACCAACCGTTCATTTTTGTAACTTTGAAAACGGTTCCAGCAAGGTACCCAGCTCTGTTGTCTCCGTCTGCTTGGTCCATGTCAAGCCTGAACATAATAGTCTTAGATAAACTTGCATATTTAACTCGGCTGAAATAATTTGAAACGAGACTCCATTCAAGATGGAATTCATTACATATCTGATCAATAAGAGAATTAAGATCAGATGTTCCATAATCTCTTTCAAGTATTCCATGATTGATATTAATAAGAGCAACCTTAATATCGAGCTCTTCGTTTGATACGCGTTCTACTACCTTTGGCTTCTTTAAAGTCTTTTGTTCATATCTAATGGCATGAAAGAGACAGAGAATAGGCAGTATCATAATATTTTATGAAAAAAAAATCGGTAATGTCATTTGACTGGCAAAAAGAAGATTCAGCAAAGTATTAAAAGTTCCATTTGCTAGCAAAAATGGGATATTAAAACATCGTCTGGCGGTTAAAGACTACAATGCGAATTTGTCAATTTACGATGCCAATTTGGATAAAATAGTGGAGTCCATCCAAATCTACTCTTTGCTTCTTTATCAGCTCCAACAGAGATAAAATATTCAACAACTTTAAGATGACCATTTCGTTGTGCACAAATGAGTGGTATATCTTTAAACGATATACTAAGTTCAAGAATTCCCTCATCGCATGCTGTAATGTCAGCGACTTGGAATTCCGTCTGGTTATGAATGCCTAAAGTTTTCAAAGTAATTTCTTAACAATTATTGAAATTTTTGTGTTTTTGGAACACACATAAACACAGTTTTATAAATCCAATTTGATATTATCAAAATTTTTATTGGACAAAATTTTCTCTCAATTTTTAAATTTTTTTACCCTTTTCAAATTACCCCTTTTTGTTGGACCATTTTTATTGAAACCATTTTCTACGATGAGCTGCCAATTAATTGCCTCCGATAACTCCATTGAAGCTGTTAAACAAACACTCCAGATCTTTTCACGTAATCTCAGACGCGATTTCCTTGTTATTCTTGTCAAGATAATCGCAGCCGAATTAAAGTCACATACAATCAGAAAAGATTGGAGAACAAGAGAGGGCTCGCTCGAATTCCTCTCTAGGAACTGGTATTTCTTCAGAGAAAGCTTCAACAAGCGTCCAGTGATCTTTTGGTACTGCGCGAACTTCGAAGCCCTCGAATCCATCCTCTCTCATCGTAAATTCGTTATGTTCCTGTACAAGAATTGGTCCCAATACGGAAATTTCGTTTCATCCAAAGAATGTGTCTCATTTCTCCGTATCCACTCAAAGGCAGCCCTTGAATGCATCAAGAACAAGTCCCTTACCGCTCCAGATTTCCCGAACACCCCTATTTCCGCTCGATTTGTTGAGATCCTCGATCATTTCCACCAAAGAAAGACAGAAATGGTCACAAGAGCCGCGGAGAAGAAGACCCTAGAGATCCATGAGTCCGTTGTTCCCACCCAAACTCCAGTCCAGGCTACAGATTCGATTGTTATCGAGAATTCCTTCCCAGATCCCGAAGCCGAGGAATTCTTCCACTTCGAAGATTCATGCCCATCGGAACCCACCTACGATTGCGTCCAGACAGATCAGTTTTCCCTTGATTATGATCCTTATTACGAATCCGCCCTTGTTGATGATTTTATTTGTTAGTGAAAATTTCTTTTTTTAACCGCTTTCGACGCGGCATCAGTCTACTCCCCTATCGGCAACGATACATGCCATCTTAGTTTTAATTATCCTATCCGACAGCATACAAAGATTGCTGTGGTGCATCATTATGTGTATTTTTACAGATAGGCTTGCGAACTGCATCTAGCGGTTCTTTTGGCGCGCAACAGATGCCGGGCGACCGGATCAGTACTCTCGGCTAAAGAGTACTTTGCGTTGGGGGTATTCAGGTGCTTCGTCTTTAGCAAAAAACTTACAGAACAAGATTCGTGCGACTCGGCCCTGCATCACCGAGTTTTTTCGCTCAATCTTACAAAAGAAAATTACAAAAATAATATTAGTGTCTCGCTCGGGGCCTTTTTTTATTTAGTTGGCCCGTCTGAGATCGCCCTTGCAAGGCGTGTATAGCGAGTTCGCCTTCGGTTTTCCTCAGTCCACATTTTTTTTGAGAGATATTTTGAGTTTGAGAAAAGTTTCAGTGGACTTTGAGAGTTTTGAATTTACCAGAGAGATCTAGTTTCGATGATTTTCCTGGGTTTAATTTCTTTTAATGAAATTTTTCAAAAATAGGAATCCGGAGAAAAAAATTAATAATGTTCAATGATTTCGTTTGTGTTTGTGAGTGTATTAACATTGAACATTATAATTCAAATTTTAGAATTTGATTTCTTATGATATGGGGAACCTTTTTGCCAAATTTTTAATGATTTGGCTTTCACTTGCTTGTTTGACATGGTGAGTGTTATAACAGAAAGGTTCTTGTATCATTTGGAATCAATTTTCTTATTTGAATATGAAATCATATGATTAGTTTTATCCATTTTGTAAATAAATGGATTTATTAACTTAGTGTATGATTTTGGTTATAGCCAGAGTAGAAATAATCGTAAGAGTAGGATAAGAATTATTCGATAATTTGATATTAAATGATAGCAAATGTGAATTTAGATATAAAAGCTGAAATAAATATATAGTTGTGAGTAAAATCATGCAAATAAGAGTTTTATAAAATTGTTTTAGAATTTCGACCAAAATCCGGCAAATGTGTTATATATTTAATATTTTTAATGAGTATACATATAAAATAAGCTGAGCAAATGGCTTAATGAATCCTTTCTGGCCAAAAAAGTAGCATTTGAATGATTTTTCCTCTACTTTATCTCGAGCTGTTGATACAGAACTGATTTATATCATTAGTTTGAAACCATCACATACTATGGACTGAAGCATATCAATATTATCATAAAAAACCAGAAGCAATAGATGGAAGGTTTACTAACAATAACGGGGATGGCTCTGCAATTGTAACATTTAGAGTGATTAGGGATACAGTTCCAGAAAATAATCGTAAGCCAAGAAAGATTTTAGTCGCATCTTCAATGTATATGTCTTTTGCAGCCTCAAATTTGTTTTAATTATTTGTATTAACGTAATAAAATGATTTATTTCAATCGTTTTTGTTTTATATATGCCAAAATAACTAATATCCATCAAATTATGTTGTAATATTATTAATTTTAAAATCAAGATATTTTTTATTAGTGTTATTTCAAATTTTTAAATAATATTTTTCTTTCTTCTGCAATGATTTATAATGCATATCATTTTATTTCATAAATTGAAACATTTGTTCAATTACAAATTAAAAATTGAAGAATTAAGCACAATGTCTATTAATTGTCACATAGCATACTTTCTGATAGTTTATTTTTTGATTTCTTTGATTTATTTATCCTTTTTGGTGAGAAGGTTAACGTAATTCCTCACAATTTCTTTTGTATAAAATAAAATTTTCTGAATGGAATAATAATACGTTATGTAAAGTTAAAAATATCGGCAATATTTATACCTGGCCATATTATATCAAATAAATTGTTGTATGCTAAGATCAGTCATAATGTAAACCTCTCAATTTTATTGTCGTGGGAAGTATCTCAATTCCTTCAAAAAAATTGAAAAACTATTTAATTTTAAAAATATAATACTTTTAATTAGTTAATTAATTGGAGATATTTTTAAAAAAATCACTTTTGATAATACTTTTGAGAACTTTAATTAAAAAAATATATTCAAAAATATCCAGGATATCAAGAGGGAATTGTTCCTTATGAGGTATATAGTTATGATGTATACCTCATAAGGAACAATTCCCTCCTTAAAATGAGAAAACTTGTTCGAAATTGTTTATCATTTCGAACAAGTTTTCTCGTTTTTAATAGGAAACTAAAGGCTATGAGGCACTGATTATATATTAGTGCCTCATAGCCTTTAGTTCCTAATAGATAGCTGGGGAACTTTCTCCAAATGATAAGTTATTCAGAGAAAGTTTCCCAGCTATCAAGAGGGAATTGTTCCTTATGAGGTATATAGTTATGATGTATACCTCATAAGGAACAATTCCCTCCTTAAAATCGTAGACATTTTTATACTTATTAATCAACCATTCAAAATCATATTCCTCTGAAAAGTTATTTTATTAAAAATTTAGAATTTTAATAAATATAGAGTTTGAATTTCATACAATACCTATATATTTTCAATAATGGAATTTGAAAACCATTCTCAAAAGTTCTCAGAAAACCTTTTTTTCATTAATTTTAAGAAATCTGAGTATTAAATTAAGTGATAAATTCGTTTGACACTACTTTAATTTTTAAATTCAAAAAATTATATGTGCTTCTTAAAATGACTCAAAAAATTTTATTATAAAATAATATATAATATTAAAAATCCCACAACATTTTTTTACTTTACATAATCGTACTTCCCCGACGATTAATTTCCACTCAATTTCTATCATTGACCGAACTTAGCATGCAACAAAATTTCCTTTCAAATCTCCAAAATTTTTATTCACATCTTATAGCACATTTTTTCCAATTAAATATGAATGATATTATAATATTTGTTATATTGATTCTTTCAAAATTGAATTAATCGTAATTCAATCCGAATTCAATATTGATAGAATCCAATGTAATTTCTTCAGAAATCCATAAGGTTTTTTAAAATATAAATATTTATAAAACACTAACTTCACACATTATTTATTGAAAATATATTTTGAATGACGATCAAAATAAATGAATACATTGCTCTTTTTTATTGCGGCGCGGAATCTAAGATTTATTAAAACAATAGTCGTTGATGCCACAAAGTCATTTAAACCCGGAATATATGAATTTACTTTAAATGCTGCAGCTGGAGGCCGTGGGTGCCAATCAGGTTATAAAAATACTTATGGAGGGAATGGAGCAGAAGTAAAAGCTAGATTAAAATTTACCCATAGAACAAATGTCACGTTTACAATCGGAAAAATGCCTATAGGAGATTGCCGTATATCAAATCTAGGTGGATATCCTAATGGAGGAGTGAGCGGTGAAGATCTCAATTTCAAGGGCAATGATGCATCGGGCGGTGGTGGGGGAATGACTGCAATAAGTATTGATGGTAATTTCATTTTAATAGCTGGAGGAGGTGCAGGAGGTGCTGGAAACTTCAACGGATCTCATGGAGGAGGTTTTGGATATACATTGCGAGTCACAGGTTTAGCATCTAAGCAAGAAGAAGAAAGAACAGTGCAATATATTCGAAAAGATAGTCGACACGGCGGAAAAGGTAAATCATGGATCGCAACTCCAGGATCTGGTGGTGGTGGTGGCTGGCGTGGAGGAATGGGAGGAAAAGGCGGTCCAAAAACTGATCCAAAAGTTTGTGGTTGTGGAGGAACCTCAGGATATTTAAATTCTTTTCAATATTTCTTCACACCCCCAACAGCAATAGATGGTAGATTTACAAATAATGACGGAGATGGCTCAGTTAATATTGTTCTTGTTAATGTACTGGATACAGTTCCAGAAAATAATCGCAAACCCCGAAAGATCTTTGTTGCATCCTCAATGTATATGTCATTTGCAGCCACAAATTTGTTATAATTTTTGTTAAGGCTCCGGTCCCACCCTCTCAATTTTAAAAGTTTTAATATCTCCACCAATATGAGTTTTTGATACTTTTATTTTAGTACATAATATCATTATGTAATACACTATAGTATAGTATATTTAAACTGAGTATTACTATTATAGTTCATCTTATCTGAGAATTCGGTATTTTGACAAATTTCAACTTTGACCGGTAAAACTATTTATAATCAAAAAAGCCCACGACATTTTATAGCATATTAGTGATACATTATATTGTTATTAGTAAACTTGATTTACAATCTCTTCTAGATGAGTAATTTGTTTTTTTGAAAAAATCTGACAAATCACTTTTTGACAGAATCTAGATATTTTTGATTTGTGAAAGTTTTAATAATATGATAAGGTTTATATATGCTATCATAATATAATAAAATCATATAATGTTACATTATCGCTATATATGTCGAATATTAAAAAATTGTATATTAACATTTTTTGTCATATCTTGATAATAAAGAAAAAACTCTCAGTTCCCCTTCGACAAATTGTTAGAATGCAACTAAAGTTTATTTTGATATAGTGAGTTTGCTTCTAAAAATATATGAAAGAAGAATTAGATTTGCAAGACCCCTATAAAAAACGATTTTTGCGTCGAGAATAACTTCATGCACGATTAATTGATATGATAATAAAAATCATATATGATAATTACTTAATATAGACAACAATATTGTATTAATCACTTTTTGTCAAAACGGTTTTTCGATAATTGAGTATTCAATTTTCCAAAAATCCATTCAATAATTTGATTTATAATTCAACGTATAAGAAAAAACTCTCAGTTCCCCTTCGACAATTTGTAAAGAAAATTATATAGTTTCTGTCGACACTATTTGTATATTCTACCTTCTTCGGTATTTCGAAGAATTAGGTTTGCAAATTTGATATTTTTGATGTATTTTTTCAAATTGAGAGTATTTTTGATGATAGAAGTAGGTGTTTTTTGAATTACAATTTTATATTGATGTGCATGATAAAAATTTGAACTTATATTATGGTGACATAGTATAAGTCATAATGTATTAATATACAAAAGATATTATCAAAAAATTCCTTTCCAATATGTATAAACAAATCGATTTTTTAAATTAAATTTAAACCTTAAACTCAATATATTAAAAAGTGACATTATTTTAATTAGAAGTACAAAAATCCATAGTCATAGAATTATCAAATGATTGAAAATTGTTATAATTAGGCACATTATACTCATTTATGAATTTACTATACTATATACTTTGCAAATTTAAAAATCCAAATTTTCAATTTTTAAAATATCATTATTTATCATATATCAAATAGTAAAGTTAGTATATATCATGTTTAAAACGATAATATAGTCAAATTCGAAAATTTTAAAATAGATAATATTTAATTTTTACAAAATATTGGTATATGTGCAATCTATTGGTATATTTTTACTCCTTATTAGACACTCGTCCTAACTATATGCAGTAATCATGCAGGACCGGAGCCTTAATAGATTTTTGTTTTATTCATGCAATATAAATCGATTCTGATTGATTTTTGAAATAATTTTAAAATTAATTTTTAAAAAATATCATAATTAAATTATAACTTGTAAGTACAGATTTACCACATTTTAAATTTATTTCGAATTGTAGTGTATTTTATTAATTCAATTTTGATTTTGAAATGTAAGAAATTGAAGTATTTGAACTTCATCCAACATCACATTATATGATTTATACAACTTACTATCATTATGTATGTAGATATTGTTTTATTTCGGTCAAATCGGAAAAAAAAATCATGTTTTAAACGAAATTTACTAAATTCTCACACTGCCACTCTAAATTAGTACAAAATCAATTCAAATATTTCAATATTTTCAATGACAGAATCAATTCTATTTTTTAGGTACTTTTGCCGACAGATTCTGCTAAACGAAATTAGGAAACGAACAAATAAATGAAAATAGTAATTGGCCCATTCCATAACATTAAAGACGTCAAAATATCAGCTACAGGCAAACTTCCCGAATTTTACTATCAATTCAATTGCAAGTAAAATTTTAATGGAACCGCTGATAAAGGATGTATCTCACGATAAGTGCCCCATTTGTGCAAACTTATAATTTTGAAGCTTTGACATTCCATTCAAGAATGTTTTTGAACGGACTATTGTCCTTAATGTTACTGTAAAAACATTAAAAATGTGAGTGTAAAAAATATTTGATTTTAAATTTAATTTTTTTTAATTTCAAATTTTCATATGTTAAATGTAAAAGATTCAACAAATCACCAAGTTAGAATAATTGGATAAAATTGAAAAAATGATTATCGATGACGGTTCGAAATTAAATAAGTTTCTGAAAACTCTAAAATTTTTGGATACAGCTATCCCAAATAAAAATAATTATCCATCTTATAGATCTTTATTTTCTCAAATAATTAATTAACTCTGATTTCAAAATTTTCGACCTTGATAGAAATAGAATCAAAAGCTATGAGAATATAAAATATAAATAATTTCTATTCAGTGCAAATTTGAAAGAGTCGCGATTCAATTCATATTCAAAATTGTGATTGAATTGCTATCAAATATCTTCAGAATTTTATAATATTCAATAAAGATTTAATTTTGAATTATGAATTACGATGGATTCAAATGCATTCATTACTCTGTTTTATTTCAGCTCGGATTCCAGTAGATGTAATTGAAGGAGTGGAGTCTGAAACAAAAAGCTATGATATAGGGATATATGAATTTACCTTAAATGCTGCAGCTGGCGGGATTGGATGCCAAGATTGTCTTAGCTATACATTTGGAGGTCGAGGGGCAACAGTAAAAGCTTTATTAAAATTTACTCAAAGAACAGAAGTACAATTCATAATCGGCAAGAAACCGAGGAGTGTATGCTATACTTATAATTTAGGAGGGTATCCAAATGGAGGAAGTTCTGGAAGTGATTGGTTTAATCAAGATAATTCTGGCGGCGGTGGAGGAATGACTGCAATTATGATTGACGGTGAATACATTTTAATTGCTGGTGGAGGCGCTGGAGGTGCAGGAATCTTCAATGGCTCTCATGGAGGAGGTTTTGGATACACATTACATGTAACAAAATATGGACAAATAGAAGACTACTCTGTTTTATATGTCCAAAATATTATGCCAGGCGAAGATGGTGGATATGCATTAAAAACCCCAGGATCTGGGGGTGGTGGCGGTTGGTTTGGCGGAAAAGGAGGAATTGGGAGTGAAAAAACTAATCCAATAGTTTGTGGCCATGGTGGAGTGTCAGGGTACTTAAATATATCCCAACATTTCATTACAAATCCAATTGCAAGAGATGGTAGATTTACAAACAACGATGGAGACGGTTCTGCTAGAGTATTACAAATAATAATGAAAGATACAGTTCCAGAAAATAATCGAAAACCAAGAAAGATCTTAGTTGCATCATCAATGTACATGTCTTTTGCTGCCACAAATATGTTTTAATACATATAATATATAGAATTAAATATGTTTTATTTACTGAAATTAACTATTTTTGCATCAAAATGTTTTATTTTTCAAATTTATTGCAAATAAGCTGATAAAGACTTTATCTGGCTCATGCTATGCTAAATGATATTCATTTATGTGATATTATATAATGATTTAGAAAAGCGGGATATTTAAAGCTTTTATAAATACTATTTAATACCGTAGAAAATTGATATACTATTCTAATGTATATTAAATTTATTTCATATAATGCAATAATATCAAGATTCATTTTTTCAAATTCTTAAAATTTTGATTCTGAGTTTTTAAGTTCAGTTTTCCTTTATGTTATTATATGGTACAGCTATTTTCCATAAAATCGATCAATATTGTCTTTTTGATTTTGGCCGACCACATCGAACCACGATGGCCTCGACTAAAATACCTGAACCCGAGTTAGATAGCGTATTAATTGCAGCACAGTTAGCACGCTTCTGCCCTACATCACTATCGTTCGATAATTTAAGTATCTCGTGCTTCAAGGAGTCGAAGAAGAAAACAAAATATGAAAAAAATAATGAGCATAATAACTTTGAATATATACCACCGAAGCCTATCCAACTCAATAATAACAATAATACAGAAAAGAACAATACCAACAATAGCAAATCCAAATTTTCATTTTTATTAAAGAGCAAAACACACATACTACACTAAGCAAGTTTGTTTATGAGCTTCCGAATATAAAGAAAGTATCGACACCCATCAAATCCAATAAATCACTCATGGTCATTTCATTATCGGTCGGTGACTTAAAGTCTATTGATACACCAATCATAAAAGGAGCCAGGCAAGTTAATTCTATGAATGACTATTCTTCAGACTCAGAAGATTATTATTCTGAGTCAGATTGAAGGTAGAATTTATGTAATTAAATATATAGAGTTTTTTGCGACTTCTTTATGATTTTTATATCAATCCGACCATATAATACCTTTTTTAGGCTTCATAATATATATTCTTTTGGAATTATACTACATTGAGTCATATGATATGTTTCTAATAACACAGGATACATTTCTTCTGAGATTCTTTGAATTTGGCCGTAATCTAACAAATATATGCCAAAATTATAATAATTCACTTGATATGAAGCTATAATATTTACTATTTCATGAGCTATATACATATACCATAATAGATTTTATATATATCCTTATTTCTCATGAATAATATTATAATATTTGATGATTTTTTTTAGATTTAACAAAATCTCATCAAATATGATAATATACGTTAATGTGTTTATATGGAAGCTGGTATTTTGTCTATAGTATTTGTTTCGAAATTGATATGAAATTTTGATTAATAAAATAGGATTTTCTCATAATCAAATATATGTAAATATGTGATAATTTGAAAAGGGGCAAGGTAGAGAAAAGTTTTATTAAATTTAATTTTTTATGATGAGATAATAATATAAAGCATTGGAATGAGCAAATTTAGATATGGATTGGTGCATTTTCTAGAGCAATATAAGCAAAAATCTTTACTGAAGATTCGTAAATCTCCAAAAATTTCAGCGTGGTTCAAGCACCATATATAGCCACCATAAACAGTTTTCCCCATATTCTGAAAGTTAATGGCATAGCATTCTTGGGGATTGCTTATGATGAATGTTTCAGAGTTAAAATATCCGTTTAATCTATTCGAATTTTGGACATCGTCAATAACTTTCCAATTCTCATTGAAGCAAGAGACTTGCCAGCTTCTGGCAAAATATTTATTTTCATAATCTCGATTAGTTAGTGTGTAATTGGTGAAATAGATCGATGATCTAAGAAGTACAATAGTAAAGCCTTGTTTGGGTTTATTTTCTCCGCACCAGACACTATCAATACTTTGATTAAATAAATTACTGATGCGATAAGCATCTTGAGTAGTGGAATCACATGTATAACTAAAATGTTTAGGATGTGCCCTCGTGATACCATCAAAATCTCCATTTCTTTTAGGATAAATGATGTTGATATCAATTCATTTTTGTCACTTTTGGATGATTTGTTTTATTTCAAAATATTGTCAGATTTATAAGGAGAATATCACTATTTAACAAAGCAGCAAAGAAATATTCTGCATTTCCAAACATGATATCAAAATACATGCAAGATTCTGAAAACAGGACTCAAAAATATTTAATATTTGCAAAATCTCGGGTCAAAAATTTTTCTGGAGTTTTGGACCCTGAGATTTTGAAACTACTATACCGCTTCTACAGGCTTATTGAAAAAGAGATGTAGCATTACAATAAATGTCAAAATCTCTGCTTAAACTTAATGAGAATGAACATTTTTTAGACTATAAAAATAAGTTTTCCATATTCTAAAAGCTTGGGTATTTTTTTGAATGCCTATGGTATCCAATTTGAAAAGCATAGTGATACGAATGGACCCTAAACAATGTCAAAAAAGTGTAATTCACATTTGAATCAAAAATAATCGATTGCAAGAGGATTTCATCTTCAATGTAAAATATATTTTGGCTTGAAGTAAAAGACAATAACAAATAGAAATGATAGTAAAATATTTATCAACAATATATATAAAAATGATTTCATTTTTGTTTTCTTGCTTTGACCAATTTCTTGTAAAAGTCAATTTCGCTCAATTGGTTCTGAATTTTATCCAAAACAAAGTGAACAAACTTGTTTGTGCCGCATGTTTCGTCGATTGACCTTAAACAATAAACAGCTTCAACCAAATTGAGGGAATCAAGAGATTTATTGATAAAACTGCAGATGTTGACAATATCATCTCCAGTTAAATTCTGTTGAAGCATTCCAATGATTCTGAGAAGATCGTTGTATTTCTTTTCGAAATCTACTGATTCAAGAGAATCAATTGCTTTTCTCGTCCAAAACTCTTTGAAATCAGTACTTTCTGGTATGTAATACATGATGTTAGTAATTAAATCAGGATCTGATTTGATTCTTTGCCAAATATCTTCATCTTTGTTTTGGAGGAATTTTATGGCCTGATTTCTCTTGTTTGTACTCGAAAGATTGATGGCTTCTTGAATATCATTGATTTCTACTTCTACGTACTTCGAAATCAAATTTTGATATTGAATAAAAAGATTTGAATCGAAATTGAGAGGAACTCTCCAGTTCTCTATTCTATTCATAAGTAACATGATTTTTCTTGAGTCCCCATCTTCCAAAGCCTTAAATGCAAATTCATTATTATTTTCTGGCGGAGATTTGATGTCAAACTTAGGTTCGTAAGGTTCTTCGTGGACGTACCTTGTAGATCCGTACAAATCTTCCTTCTCTTCGTTGGTCAAATGGCTTTCAAACTCTTTTACAATAGGAATTGCTCCTTTAAGAGTTTTTCCGATCAGTTTGGCAAATGGCCCGAGTTTTCTGAGCGGAATTTCACTCGGCCAAACAAGGACTTGGCTTGCAATTACGTGTTCGAAAGATAACCATGGATTCTCTGTTGTATTGATCTCATTGTTAGAGACAATGGCTTCGCAGATCCTGGAATGAGCAATTATGTCTCCACAGTTCTTTAAATTGTTCTCTATTGAGATATTTAATAATAATTGTGGATGTTTCAGCAATAAATAGGAAATTTGACGTGGCATCAGTGAGAATAATGTTGTAAATGAGTTAATTACACTCTGCGGAACAACAATATGCTCATTTGCCAAAAATTTTATTGCTGATTGCGCTGGTTCAAAGAATTTCGTGGTATCTGCAACTACATCGACTGATAATTGGCTGGATCTTGCTTGCATGGCATCCATAAACCTTGAATGTACTTGTGCGTCCCTAAAAATGTTTAATGTAGCAATTATTACGTCCTCTGCTATTTTTATTGTGGAATAAAGAATGTTCTTGTTATCTTTGATCGACAAAGAGGCCAAATACTTGAAAATCAAGGTAATAATGTCAAGATCTGATTCTCCAATTAAATTCTCTTGGAAAAGAACGGAATGGAGTGGATCTTTTGACTTAATTGACTTCAAGAAAAAGGCTGTACGGTAGAATTCATCGAAAAAGTCCAAATTTAGGAAATGAAAATCTTCAATTTTGATTTGTTTCAAAGCAAGCATTGCATTTTGGTTTATCTTAGGGTTCTTGTAAGAAAGGAACGAATAGAGTTGTAGTAATGTATCATTTATGAACCCTTTTCCGCATTTTTTGATACATAAAGAATAATCAAGCTGAGAAAAGATCAAAGAGACATCTGCTGCGTGGTAAATTGTTTTTATGTTGGAGAAACAATACTTTCGCAGTGTCAATTTGAACTTTTCTGACTTTGACAACAAATAATTTGAACAATTAGCGAGAGATCTGATGATTCCGGACATTTTATCGCTATAACTGTCATTGGAGTACCTTTCGTACATATCTACAACAAGTTCTGGGTCATAACTTTCAACAAATTTCGAAATTGTTTCTGCTTTCTGCTGAATAACAAGAGAACCGTCTTGTGGCTTGATACTGATGAGTTCGAACTGAAGAGAGAACTTGTTGCTCGATATTTTGGACGATAACGTTGAAAAATCGATGTCAATTGAAACATCTTTGAAGGTTATCGTTGTTTTTTCATCTCCTACCTTTAATTCGCCGCCTATCTTTGAGATAATGGCCAATACATTCTCGATAGTAGCATTTGCTGTGTAGTTTTGAAGTAATTCGAGACATTGATTGGCAATTTTCGTAAAATCGCAGGATAATTGAGAAACAGGAATCGTATTCAATATGAATCCGATAATTTCGATGTTTTCTGATGATGATTGGTCGAATATTGATAGAAAATGTTGCATTAAATTTTGTGGAGAGTGTTTGATGACTTCTGTGAGAGCCCTCATGAAATGGATGCTATATTCTTTCTTGTATGTCTTCATATAAAGGTCAATCAGGCGCTTAAGCCAGTCTTTTGGTGGAGAATCTAATCTGGAAATAAGTAAAGGGATATTTTCAAAAGATTTTGCATCATTAAAAGTGAAATACTTCGCGAAGTCTACGTAATGAATGAATTGTTGTTTGAATGGAAGAGAAATTTGGTTAAGTAAATGAACAAAAGAAGCTGCAATATAAGGATAAACATGTGTATCAAATGGTTTGTTTGTTCAAGACACTGATGAGTGAATTGTTTAGCTGATCCAGATAAAATGGAGAGCAATAATTCAAAAATAAACTTAAGGTTTTTGAAGATTTTGTAGCTAATGCGACATTTTTTTGGGAAACACATGTAAATAAAGACATCCAGATGTCAGAGAATGCTGGTTCTAGAGAATTTGTGGCTAATTTAGAAAAATTGTTGCCAAGAATGAAATCACTGAGTTTTGTAAGGTAGTTTTGTGCATCTTCAGCAGAAACAGTTCCACTTGATTCGCGAATTAAGATAGGGATGTCCATTAATCACTCAAACAAAAAGAAATTGCTAAGGCTCAGAAAAAAACTTTTGAAATAAATGATCGCGATTGTTTTTTGATTTTTATTTGTGAAAGGAAGAAATAAATATATTTTTCGAAGTTTAATATTTTTTATTTTGTACGCCTCTCTCACAAAGTTGTATGCATTTTCATTTAATCACGTATAAATTATTAAACAAATTCGATCAAAAATTTTGGCAGAGTAATTCCCATCTCATACTGATACTTGATTATTTATCTATGAGTTATTGTCACTCGAATAAAAAAAAAAAAAAAAAGGTAGTGGGGCTTCCAGGCACTTCGTGCCCTCTAGCCCCGAAGATGTTTAGTATAAATGAAGTTTTTTTGGGTATAGGGGGCTTTCCAGGGGCTGCGCCCCTTCTAGCCCATAAAAATTTTTGAGAGTCGTCGCTGTTGACTTTTTTTTGTAGAACACTCAAAATAGTATAACTATGTCCGGACAAGTAAGGGTCTATCGTCGCTACAGGAAAAGTTACGGGCGTTCCAAGGAAGTATACTTTGAGAAGCCTTTTCTCCATTTTAAAACAAGATAGGACGGTTATTTTACAAAACTGACAAGACTTTGACCGAGTAGTTTTCATGTTTTGTCAGTTTTCTGTCACTTTTCAGGAAAAAACATTTTTATTATTATATATAAATGAATTTTACAAAACCACCGTTACCGTTCTTTGGAAATAAGAGTAGATGTAAAGATATTCTATTGAGAGAACTTAAGAAACTACCGAATGGTCTAACATTTGTAGATTTGTTCGGTGGAAGTTTCTATATGTCCCATTTGTGCCATACAATATTCCCAGACTCAAAGATTATATGCAATGACTTCGACAACTATATGAACCGTCTCAAACATATACCAGACACAAACAATATATTGAAAGAGTTAAAAGAAAAGATACCTATAGGCAAGATGGAAAGTATACCATTAGATAAGAAAAATATTGTGAGAGAGGTTTTGAAAAAAGCAGAATATATTGACTGGGATAGTATATCTGCTAGACTATTATATAGTGGTTCTATAAGAGTTCATGACATTGAAACACTTATGTCAAAAGTTTTATATCTTAACTATAAAAATGTTTTCAAAAAGAACATAGAAAAATATATTGAGGGTATAGAGTTTGTGAGATGTCGTTGGACAGAGTTGTATGAAAAATATAAAGACAAGGAAAATGTTTTCTTTATAGTGGACCCGCCGTTCTATAACACATGGGATTTTCAATACCAAGTAGACTGGACTTTGAGAGACTCTTTAGAAACTTTAGACGTTTTACATAACCATCCATGCTTTTACTTTACATCCGATAAAAGTGGTTTGGAAACCGTTATGAGATGGTTAGAGGACATACATGACTATGAGTTTAGATATGACAAGATAGAATATGAGAGAGGTCCTATAAACCGGAGAAAGTGTCATAACAAAGAAATTTTATTGGTAAGTAAATGTGGTTTGAAATAGGACTACTTGTTTTAGGTTTTTTCCACTGTGTCATTTATTTATTTGACGTGGCAGAAAGATATAGAGAATATGAAGATGAACCAATGTCTGCAAATGTTCAGCATATGTACTCGTAAGAGATATTTTTATCTAATATTAAATGGACGCACAGAACTTAGCGAATGCACAGCAACCTGGACAACCAAACCCAGAGAATATTCCAAATGAAGTTAGAATACAAACTGCAATGGCAAACTATGGTCAAGTGCCAACAGATGTACAAATGCAAACTGCCATGTCAAATGACGCTGCGTTAGGTTTGCCACCATGGTATGCAAATATGAGATGGAAAGAGTTTTATACAAACCCTGAAGTGGGATATAAACAACTCTATGCAGATGACGCGAACACAGGAGTTGACCCAGAATATGTTTTCTACCAGAGGAGAAACAGAATGTATGAGCTCCAGTTAAAGAATGCTATGGAACTCAACAGGAAACGTAAAAGACTAGGCGGACATTAGATTTTTACATATAGTAAAATGGGTTTCTTTGGAAGAATAGGAAACTTCTTTCGAAATGTTGGAAGAGGTATATGGAATGGAATAAAATCTGTCGGAAGAGGAATTTGGAACGGTGTCAAAAATATTGGTAAAAGAGTAGGTCAGTTCGTTGGTATTATACCTAAAGACCCTGAACCAGAAGAACAAGCTCCTGTTATACAACAGCCTGAACCTGCACCACAGTCTAGTTGGCAACCAAATCCAACACCTCAACCGTATTAAAAAATTATATTTTTACCGTTCGATAGTAGTTGTATATGAAACTAAGTTCTAAGTAAAACGCATGGTATAATGGAATTATTCTCTTTCTTCCATCTGTAGTAAACCATACTTGAAAGTCTGAAATACTTCCACTCGGCGGTTCATATAGCTTTGTAGGTTTTTCGTAAAAGTCATTTGCCAAGCATAAAAAAGAGTTTTGTGCACCAGAAAATGAAGCATGAACTATAATAGCATCTGAGTCGAAAACATTTTCATATGTTCCATTAGGGT